TACATTGCATAACCAAAAGGCATTTATAAAATTACCGAAGCACCGGATTGAGGTACATCATAAGCAATTGCTTCTCTCTCGGTCGGTGAAAAATTATTTTGCTGATGTAGTTCCATTTGTAATTTTCCAAATAAGGCGTACGCATAGTAAATTATTGTGATTGCTTTTTGGTTATTTTTTGGTGAGGATTCAAATTAATGATTGATCGGCAATATTAAATTAGACCAAATCGTTTGTCTTTGCATAATTTACCTTGAGAAACGAAGATCGATGTAGCGAAGGCTGCGAAACTTGGAAAATAATTAAAGGAATATATGATACTCATTTTTTTACGTTTATTAGACAGGATTTAGCGAGGAAGTCATACATTCTTATATTATAGTCAATGAATTGATTTTCTAACCATCCACATACAATGCTTGATAAGTTGAACAAAATGATACTGTATGAAGAAAGGAATCGCCAATTTTCACGCGGATCATGACATGATGCAGATCGAGTCCATAGAGAAATCTTTCTGTTTTGACTTGTAGATGTCAACTTCGAGAGGATCTACGGGTCTTTGGCAAATTTCCATTACGGAAGGCCTAATCCCTCTAGCGTTCTTGTCTTATCATATTGTACATTTCTGAAATCACGCCATTATTGGAATACTGTACACGTCCATTTCCAGCATACACATTTAGCAGTACTACCGATCGATTAATATAATACTCTTTTTAATTACAGCATTACAAAATTGGATATTAATTGTTAAATATGACATATTAATAAAAGGTATATATAGATAAAAATCCAAATTTTCATATCTAAATAAAATTTGGATTTGGATTTTTTAATTACACAAATTACCAATTACATTTTATCGGGTTTCTTTAAAGTCTTGATCAAAATTAAATCAATTTCTTTCTTAAGACAAAATTATTACCAAAATTTACACGAACAAAATATTATGTCGAATGTACAAAACCAAAATCTCTTTATAAAATACATCTTTAGAAATAACAAATATTTTTATCTGTATTTATTTCTAAATGGAAACTTTTAACAAAATATATTTTTTAAAAGATCTTACTTTATAAACGTAACAAGAAAACGTAAAAAAAAATGATTTTTAACAGTAATTTTTTTGCATTACATGTTTATTAAATCATGTCAATAATTTAATACTTTTATAAAAATATATATTTTCAATTGTTAAATGCTAAGAACATATTTGAAAATTAGATATGTCAAATTCTTTTGTCAATTTATACTATTTTTTAAAAAGTATATATGTCATAAATTGAAAATAAACATGTATAAAATGATTATAATGCCTTTCTATAATTATAAATTACATATATATTTTAAAAATTAGTTTTATTATATATATATATTTTAGTTTTCAATATAAATTGTATTTTTAAAATCATATACAATATATGTATATGATAAAAAACATAATTATATATTATAAGTTTTTAATTGAATTAATATTAAATTCATTGAAATAATATAAGAAATGTTATTTCAATATATATAATAATTTGTATTATATCAAATAAAAATAATGTAAATGTTATTATTTAAAAAACATAAAAAAATTATTAATAAATTAATTAATTAATAAATAAATAAAAGTACAAAAAAAATTATATTCATAATTATTGTATATCTTTTGATATAATAAATAAAATTTTTGAATTTTATTATTATTTAATTTAAAGCTTAAAGTTTATTTCAATACAATAAAATTTATATTTTAAACTTATATTTATTATATTTAAAAATAAAAAAAGATTAATAAAATAATAATTGTTTTTTTTAATATAAAATAATTATTGAAAAAGTTATAATTTTTATAATTTATTTTATAAATAAATCAAATTTAATAATTTGATATAATAATTTGAATAATTAAAAATAAGAAGTATAAATCAATATTTAAATTGAAATTGTAATTTTTTATAAAAATATAAATAAATAATATTGTCAGGTATTAGAATTGTATTTTGAATTGAAAACTATATATATTTTAATAATTAAAATTTTTAAAAATCAAAAAGCAAATAAATAATTTATTATCATATTATATTATCAAGTAACAATATGTAAATAAAAATAAAAATTCTAATTTATTTATTATATATTTATTTAGTTTTTTTAAAATTAATATTATTATTAATACATTTGATTTTTAAAATAATTATACTAAAGTTAGTTGGCTTGTATTCTAAAATCATTATTTTTAAAATTAAATATTAATGAGTATTATCGTTTAGATTAATTCTTGTACCTGGGGTTTTTCCTATGTTTAATATAAATAAAAGAAAAGTATATTATAATTAATGCGTTTTAGTGGAATTGAATCTTGGTTTTACAGTAAGTACCAAATAATTTTAATCTAAATTCTTTTATTATATTTGTATTTGTTATTATGATATATGATTTTGATTACTTATATAAATATTGCATGTGAAAGAAAAAGTATTAGAAAAGCAGAGAATTAGAAAGTTAATTAACCATTACTGTATATACAGTAATTGAACATAAAAAAATATCCTACATTTTTGATTTTTTTGATTTTTCAAAAATTAAGATCATCCATTTTTAGAATGTATAGAAAAAACATTTTCTTTATGCACCTATCGTCTACTTATTTTTATAATTCATCTTTTTTATAAAACCGAAGTATTGAAAATATCAATTATTGGTAAGAGATCAGAAAGATATTTGACATTTCAATATTTTTATTATTAGTTTCAATAAGTGTCCGAAGCTAGATTTAATACTGTACAGGGCTATATCCTTTTATTAAATAATTTGTATTTGGTGGATATTTAGAGTTAATAATTAATTATAAAATCGTTGTGCGCACAGTTATTTCGAACAAACAAATGATCAAATTAAAATACTGTACAGTACTTTACTGTATTTAGAAAATTGTGTAACTTAAGTATGATTTATGTACGGAGTTAAAATTGCTTAAATTCGATTTTAATAAACCTTAAGATGTCTAAACCTGTTAAAAGAGAGGAAGCGTATATTGATTCAGGAGATCATGAATGTATTGACGAAAAATATTGTCTTACGTGCGTTCGTAAATTTTTTCAGGAACAATCTTCGTATTGGACAAGTGATAATTTAGAAATTGATAAGATAATTCGAGAATCACAGAAAGGTGAACAGTACTTGCATAAAACTCTTGAGTGGATATCATTTGAACAATTTTACGATGTAAGAAGAATAGAAGAAGGAGCATTTGGCATAGTGTATTCTGCATATTGGAGGGACGGACCATTGCATATTGAACAAAAAGACAGATTTAGAATCTTTTATCGCGAAGGCCATATAAAAGTAATATTGAAAAAGCTTAAAAAGTCGCAAAATATTTCTGTGGAATTCATCAATGAGGCAAGCATACACCATTGAAAATACAAAAAAAAATAAAATTTTTAAAAAGCATTAACATTTTTTATATAAAATGTAGTTAAAAGTTCATCATAAACTTTATTGTGAAGATTTAAATTCGCAGGTTATTCGACTATTTGGAATATCCAAAGATCCTACGGATGGGGAATTTTATATGGTTTTAGAATATTGTAAGCATGGAAACATGCGACAATATTTAAAGTCAAATTTTAATAGTAAATATTTAGAATGGACATGGATAGTTACATATAGTATGCGCGTCTTTAATAGTTTAAGTTATATACACGGTGAAGGGTTTACTCATAATGATTTGCATAGTGGCAACTTATTATTTACTAATTACATTAGTGCACCAACAATAAAAATCGCAGATCTTGGGCTAAGTGGACCAGCAAATCAAACAAGTGAGAGTAAAGGAAGAGATGTATATGGAGTAATACCTTATATTGCGCCAGAAGTCTTAAAGGGACAAGCATACACAACAGCAGCCGATATCTATAGTATGGGAATTATTATGTGGGAATTCTCATCTGGTTATCCACCTTATTACGATACACCTCATGATTTAGATCTTATTCTTAAAATTGTTAACGGGCATCGACCAGAAATTGTTAAAGGAACGCCAAAATTGTGGGTAAAGTTAATGAGATTTTGTTGGGACGCGGACATTTCTAATAGGCCTACTGCTAAACAAATGCATGGGATTTTAGATAAAGTATATGACCTTATTAATAGTTATGTTACAAGGGAGGACATATTTAAAAAAAACTTAGAATTAAGATACCTTTGTGGATATTCATCTATAGAAGAATTTGTGGACGATTTATGGGAATTTAAAGCAAAGTGGTATTATGTAAGCTATCAAGAAACAAAAAATCAAACTAAAATTCACCCGAAGGCAATCTATACAAGTCGATTAATATCGGATCTTACAAAGAACGTCCAATGGGAATCAAATGAATCAGTTCGAGGTACCGTATATTTATAATTTAACATTGTGTTTTTTTATAATCTAAATTTAATCCATTTTTCACAGGGGATAAATATGAGTCCGCTCAAAAAATGCTCGAAATCAATTTCTAGAATTTTTTTTTTTTTTGAAGTTGAACCGTGTTAAGGACACTATGTTTTAAGACAAAATTTCTTATGTCTTTTGTAAACTGGTTAGCATACAATATTGAAATAAATAAAGACATTCGTATAAGTTAGTTTACATGGTTATTAAACAAAAACAATATATTTTATTAAATATTTTAAATATTTTTATTTGTGACTATTAACATAACTTATATGTTCAAGCATTTCCACATCTGTCTAAAGATAACGGTTTGATATCAACTTGTAATTATTCTATTTTATAAAATTTCAAATACTTATAATTAATATCAAATAGAAATAATTTCGTCGTTATAAAAAAAAAATAACCTTATAAAAAAATTTAATTGTAAATTAATTTCAAATTATATGATGTATAATAATAATTGTAAATTATTAGTATGTATTTTTAGGAAGAAGTTGACGATATTGAGGATGGCGAATGATTATAATGATAATAATAAAGAAGAAGGAGCATAAAAACAAAGTTAAGAAGAAGAACTACCATGGGAATTTTCACATTCAACCAGAGTAGACTGGATTCTCAAATCTATTAGCTTTCTGACCAGAGGTCTTATTTTGATACAACAATAGTCCTTAAAATCCTTATGTTTTTGAGCTTAAGCTTATAATACATAGAAAATAAAGAAAATTATCATAAAAAAATTTTCAAAAAAATTAATAATAAATGTGCGTGAGTTTTTTTTTGCATATAGTAGATAATTTTATTGTTATATAATTTTCATATTTTGTTTTACTATATAATTTAATAAATTAATTTATAATATTATAATTTATTGCAATCTTCAATTATATAACAATTTTATTTCTTAATATTACCATAGGAATATTTTTTATTAAGATCGAATTTTTTTTGCTTTATAAATTACAATATATAAATTAAATTATTTTTACAAATTATATGTTATAAATTTATATTGGATTTTTAATTAATATTGATTATATTATATGTTATAAATTTATATTATATTTTTTAAATTTTATTATATATATTTTTTATTTTATTTATTTTGTCAATACGTGTTTTTAAATTTTAAAAAAAATTTTTTTTTTATAATATTGGACTAAAGTTTCTTATGTTAGAATTTGAATTATAATTTACTAATAAAATTCAATAATTTAGTTAGTTTTCTTTTTAATTAAAAATATTATATTAAAAAAATTTTTTTATTTAATGTTTTTTGAAAATTTAAATAGTTTTAAAAAATAATTTTAAGTTTATTTATTTTATTTTTAACTTTTCTATCAAGTTTTTTATTATTTATCTAATTGCAAGATAACAAAATTTATTTATTTTTCTTTAATAAATAATTATTGAATTTAGATAAAAATTTTAAAAAATATAAAGTCAAATTATTATTATTATTTTACTTTTAATTAACTATAATTTAAAATGTTTATTAATTTTTAATTTGAATATAATAAGATAATAAAATTATTATATTATAGTTAAATGATTATTAATTATGATAGGTTTATTAATAAGTATTTGTATTTATATATAATATAATTAAGATAAGTAGCATATAATTGATTTCATCAAAATATTGTAAAATTAATTTTGATGTATTTTGAATTATCAAATTTTATAAATTTTTAAAGGTTAAATATTAATGCTATTATATGTTTTATTATTAATTTAATTTAATTTAATTTTTTTAGTAATATTATTGTTATTAGTCACATTGTTTATAAAATTAAAAAAATCATATATAAAAAGCTCCAAATCAATGACAAGGAAATTTTTGTAATATTAAAATTATTTTATAAAAAAATTTATACCTTTATTTATCAATTGATGCACAAACTTAAGAAAACTCTCGAATGTTATTTTAAATTTGATTATACCAAATTTTGATAAAATATTGATACAGTATAATAATATGAGGATAAAAAGGATGAACATGTATCATTATAACATTAACGACAGTTAACCAGAATGATAAATTCTGATAGCATATTTCATGTTGCTATAGTTATCGCAATGAACTTTGGTTAAAAGAGATGAATGCAAAGCATTAGAATATTATTAAAAATTGGCTGAGATGGTGAGGCAAAAGTTTTGTGGTTATTATATAAAGTATTGTACTTTGGGCCTAGGAGAGTATGGAGATAGTCAAGCAGCGAGTTTTAAAGAACCTGTTTATAAATATATGCTTATCGTAATAATTATTTATCATAGAAGATAACAATTATTTATAGTGAATACTCTGAATAAAATATATTATTCACAAGCCAAAGTTATATTATTGGCTTTCTATAACGTATAAAGTCGTATTTATTTAATATAAATATAACGATAAATGAAAATATTAAAATACCTATAACTCTCGTGATAAAAATTGATTATAATGAATGCTCTGAAGATAATATTACAATTTTAAATTATCCAGTTGACTATCTATAATGTATATAATGTTAAATATATAATTTTAATTACAAAAGCGAAAAAACAAATGAATACAATGTATATTTACCTCTACGTGAGTAAAGATGGAATTCACTTGAATAATTTTGTTCAGGGTACGTTTCTGATTGTACTTTTTTTACATTATGTAATATTTTATCAGATTCGGTTAATTCTGTTTTAATTTTGGCATCATTTTGCCATTCTGTAAAAATTCCGTAAATTTCTTCAGCGCGTGGGCGATTCTTTGGATTTCCATCCCAACATCTCTTCATAAGATTTATATAACTCCGTGGTGTGCCTTCAATGATAGATTCTCGAAAGTCATGCGTCGTTACGTTAATTTGAAATTGATACCTAGATTCTTCGGATTTATGTTTAAAAGGATAGGCTTTTCCAGAAGAAATTTCCCACATAATTATTCCAAATGAGTAAATATCTGACGCTAAGGTATATGGAATGCCATTAAGCACCTCAGGTGCTATGTATGGCAAAACCCCGTAAGTTCCTTTAGATTCTATATCGATCGATATCGAAAGCCCTAAATCTGCAATATATGCACTCTCCAAGCTATTTAATAATATATTACCGCTATGTAGATCCCGGTGAATGATATTTTGCGAATGGATTATTTGGAGATCAGAAGCGATAGAGATTAATAACTCTAGTTTATTTTCCCACTTCATTTGTGCTATTAAAGGAAGGTTAATACGCAAAGAACCCATTTCTGCAAAATCCATAACAAGTATATAATCTCGGGAAATAACATCCCTTGATATTCCGTGGCATCTTAAAAATGTCGGATTTTTAGAACCAATATCGCAATATGCCTTTAACTTAAACGATAAGGAGCATTTTAGAAAAAAATAAGATTATAAACCACCTATTATTAAAAAAATAAATACCTCTTTCATAAACTCTTCATTACAATCTCTTGATCCACGAATTAATTTAAGTGCAACGAATTTGGTGTCCCACACGGAACCATACACATTTGCATATCCACCTCTTCCTATCTCTGTAGCAATTTCAATTTCGTTGTAAGGAATCCAAAGTAACAGATACCCATTTTCATCAAGCATTTTTTTAAGTTTATCATCCACATCAGGGATTTTAAGTATTAAATCCTTTGAAGCTAAAGGTTCGATTATTAGCTTCCGTTTAAAAAATCAATCATATAATGATAATATCGGAACTGTATTTACCTAATAGTTTATCCCTTTCCCTAATTAATTCCATTTTGTTAGTTTATGAAAAAACATAATAATTATTAAAATATCATGAATTACTTACATCTGGTACCAATACATAGACATTTGTAAGTTTTTTGTGACTCCAAATCCATCTCGATAAAATCTGGCAAGCGTGGAAATTCCTGGAAGGTGGCCCATCTCGGCTGATTTTTTACAATATTCGAATGCCTTATGCTCGTCCTTTTCAACTCCAACTCCATAGGAATAAGCATGGGCAACATAACGTGCACCCATTGAACTACCCATAACGACTGATTTTTTAAAATATTCAATTGCCTTATGTTGATCTTTCTTAACTCCAGTTCCATGTACATAACAACACCCAACATTATATACTCCGTCTACATAATCCATCTCAGCTGATTTTTGAAAATATTCGAAAGCCTTATATTCGTCCTTTTCAACTCCAATTCCATTGAAATAAAATTGACCGACATTATATGTTCCCGTTGCATCACCCATGTCAGCCGATTTTTTATAATATTCGAATGCCTTATGTTCATCTTTTTCTACTACAACTCCATTGAGATAGAAATAGCTCATATTATATGTTCCACTTACATGACCCATCTCGGATGATTTTTGAAAATATTCGAATGCCTTACGTTCATCCTTTTCAATTCCCAGTCCATAAAGATAACAATATCCAGTATTATACATTCCATCTACAAAACCCATCTCGGCTGATTTTTTATAATTTTTGAATGCCCTATGCTCGTCCTTCTCGACTCCAAATCCATTGAGATAACAATGACCAACCCGAAATATGCCATTAGAATCTCCCATCTCGGCTGATTTTTGAAAATATTTGAATGACTTATGTTCATCTTTTTTGACTCCGATTCCCTTGAGATAACAATAGCCAACCTGAAATATGCCATTAGAATCTCCCATCTCGGCTGATTTTTGATAGTATTTGAATGCTATATGTTCATCCTTTTTAACACCGATTCCATTAGAATAACAATAGCCAACCTTGTATGTTCCATTTACATGATCCATCTCAGCGGATTTTCGGTAATAGTCGAATGCTTTACGATTATCCTTTGCGACTCCAACTCCTTCATCATAACAATAGCCAACTCTGTAAGTTTCATCTACATGGCCTTTCTCGGCTAATGATAGATAATTTTCGAACGAATGTTCGTACTTTTTAGTAATATAAAAAAGTTTTGCGCTTTCCATAGTCGATATTTGGTATCTAGCATTGATACTATCAGCGTTTTATACAATTAACAGTTACACTTAGCTTTAATGATTATGTATTTAATTTGACATACATAATTTATAAGTAGCAAATAACCTCTTTCCAAGTTTTTATGTTTCATCTTTCCGAACGATATTTACTAAATTTAGCATCCCGTCGATTATTTCTGTCTCTAACGCGCTTCTAATTTTTATGGTGACGTAATTGAAATTTTTATTCGTGTACTGTAGTTTCTTTTTTATTATATTTTCACGGCAGACGTAGATTCAGGTTATACTTCTCAAGGCTTTCACTGTCTCCAAAAATACAACACCTGATCGGTGGTCTTTAATCACTAAAATTATAAGTAGATTAATGACGAAATTTATAGTATAGATAGTATATAAGATAATTAATGTATAAATTAAAATAGATATTAAATTAATAAAAAAATTTTTATGATAAATTTTTTAAAATTTACTGTTGCACTATTTTTGGTTTTTTAAAAAAATAATAAATTTTTATTTTTATAAAATTATATAAATTATTTGATTTCTATTACCATTTGGTATTATTACCTTTTGCTTTAATAATATCACTAATTCTTTTAGATATTGATTCTATATATTTCTTACAAGTTTTTCTAGATATTTCATTTCAAATATTTATTAAATTATTTCAAAGAATTTTTTTGTTTTTAATATTAATCTCTAAATTATTAACTAGCTTTTTTTTTAATATTATATTAGATATCTTTATTGGATTTAAAATCTGGAGATTTTAATAATTAAGAAATAGGTTTAATTTTATTATAACTGTTTTGCCTTATCTTTAGAATTATCATAATATTGAAATATAATATCATCAGGATAAAGATCTCTAGAGGTCTCTACCCCCCAAAAAATTTTAATATAAAAAAATTTTCAAAATAAAAAATTCCAGAAATTTTTATTTTATAAAATTTAAAAATCTTTGAAGTGATAATAATTATATTAAAATAAATATTTATTACTTTTACCAAATCTTGGAATTATATGAACTAAATTATTTATTGCTTTTATATCTATTAGATTATATATATATATGTTAATTTAAAATATATACATTCATACATGTACGGTGATTTTTTCAATTTCAAATCATATTATTGTATTAATACAAATTGAAGTGAAGATCTTTGAATTGTTCTGCTTATTTTTATTATTAATATAATCTAAAAAAATTATATTAGTCTTAAAATAAAATAATATTTATATTTTAAATAATTATAATTATCTTTCTATAACAGATTCCATTATCTGTCATATGGTTATATAATTTTTTGAAGTTTATTTTAATTAATACATCACTAAACTATAAAGTATTATAATATTTATTAGATGCCCAAACAACTCTATCATTCTCTATTATAACTGTTTCAAATATTATTAATATATAATTATTTATTAAAATATTTAAAGAATTAAAGTATAATTTTAGTTTTTATTACTTAAATAATAAGGTTGTTTAATATGTTCCTTATAGAGACTTTTATAAATTTCTGAAGTAAATCCATTAATTATTCCATACTTTTGAATAAATGAAATTATATGATATATTTATAATTATAATTTTTGAAGTTTTAGTTATGAAGCTAAAAATATTTAAAGATTTTTATAAATCTTTGCACTTATATATTAATAGACTTCTATAATAAAATATAATTTAAATATTTTATAATATAATTAAATAAACAATTATCTTATATCTCAAAATTTTTTAAATCATTTTTGGAAAACTCTTTATATTTACTAATTGTATATATTTTATTTTATTCTTGATAAATTATTGATAGTATAAGAGGGACCGAAAAATTAAATAAATTCAACATATGTCATCCTCGCCCAATTGGAGTTTAATTGGGGCTTGAGGGATTTTTGGAATTTTTGGAATTTTAGAGATTTTTAGGATTTTTGAGATTTCTTAACATGTATATAAAGAGAGGAATATACTAGAAAAAATAGAACAATAAAATACCGTCCTTTTATTATAAAACTCAGACTATTATCAAACACTTTCACTTACCTCGTGCCACATCTTCACGCCTCTTTCGACGTTACACGATCGGTGATCATGATGTAGCGACAGATTCGCCATTATAACCCCCAACAATTTGGTGATGACTGTGAGATTTGAATTAATCGCGACAAAGCATTATCCCCCAATATTTTTCGTGAATAACAAACCTAAAAAAAGAAAAAGAAGATTGCCAGTAAGTACAAAAGGATCACAATTATGGATGAAGAACAGTTCCAACCACTTTTGGAAGAAATAACTCGACTGTTAGGACATACCGCGGAAGGAAGACCCGGGGCTCAGGAGGCGAATTACGTGAAGATTAGAACCTTCGACGTTAGAGAAGATGATGATCCAATCGAATGGATGGAAGAATTCGAGAGGGTGGCAAACGTGAACAACTGGACCGATGAATGAAAACTTCAGATTGCACCCGGATACCTGAGTGGGTTAGCTGCAGACTGGTATAAAGAGCAGAGAGGTAACATTAGAGAATGGAGGGATGAGGAACGAAACGATGAAAGTTTTCATTAACTGTTAATTGAGTATTTCGCGACCCCAGAAAAACAGCATCGATGACAGAAAGAGCTTAATGAACTAGTGCAGAAAGAAAACAAGAGAGTAGACTCGTATTGTAAGGGGGTAAGTTGAGACGCGACGTGTATCACGTGACTGATCGTCACGAAGGGTATCGCGGAAAACCCGTTCTTAGATGGCGATGCACGCTTACCTAATGTGGAGGAAAAGAAGGAAGTAATTGTGAGAAGGGACTTATGTAATAAAAGACTTAGCTTATCTATTGTTAGAAAAGTATAGCCGCACTAGCCTCTGTAAATAAAGAGAAATGTATAAAAAGAAAGAGATAAGCTTTAATAAAGGAGACAAGACCCGTTAAAAACAATAAATTACTCGACCAAATCTAAACACGCCTCCTTCACCTTAAATATTACCAACCTTATCCGTGGTTACGCGAAATCTTGTCGAACTTAGCGACTGACTCGCCGTTACACCCTCACAGTATACCATGAAATTTAAAAAGTTACTGACACGTGTCGATTCCAAGAAAGGATTACCGCTTAATTATGTAATACAGATATTTTTGAGCGAGTTAAAAGGGAACACGGCAATGTTTGTTGCTGTAACATTACTAGACACATTACAAGAAGCAATCTCCACAGCGAGACAAGTAGAATCCGGCAAATACTACAGGAGGCAAACACCTGGAAAACAACAGCACAAAAAACTAGAGGATGAACTGAGTAATATCGCAAAAAGGATACAAGAAATCACCTTGAATTACGTAGCGACAAGACCAACCACTGATAGCGGAGACCAACAGTCCGCTACTAGACCAAGAAGGAATGACAAATACTTCCAATGCGGAAAGTATGGACATATCGCCAGATATTGCGATAAAAGACCAGCGGATAACCAAGAACATCTAAGACGACCAAAGAGTGTTAAACATTATGAAATATAAAGGGATGACGACTACGAAATCGAAGAATATAATGAGGTATATAATACCAACATAACCCGAAAAATAGGAAGACCACTCAAGAGGAGAATAGAACACTTAGACGATGGTGAACAAAGAGCCAGAAAAAAACCAGACAGGATATCTCCAACAGAAGTAGAGATCCATGAAGACAAACTGATGGACTTAGACTTGGAAGAAATTCCTAAGCCATGCAGGAAAAGAGGACCGTCCATAGTAAATTCACTGACATCATACAACATAGCCAATGATGTTCTTGCCCTAAAATCAAACATTACGTTGGGACAGCTGCTACAATACCCAAACCAGCACAAGAACCTAGCCAAAATATTGAGGAGACCGGTACAACAACCTCAAGAAACTAACTATGTTACGTACAACCCAGGGGAACGAACAACAGCCTCCCGATGCTATGTCCAAATTAATTAGCAACCTGTGATAGCTATTTTAAATACTGGTGCGGTCATTAGTCTAATATCAAAGAAGCTGCTAGATAAGTTGAATCTTCGGATCAACGAAAAATCAAATATGGTGGTCGTCACTGTGACAGAAGCCCGAGAGAGAACGCTGGGAAAAGTCAAGAATATAGAGGTTTCGGTCCAGAAAGTAGGGATCCCTATCGACCTACAAGTTGTGGAATCAAGGGACAAAATGCTACTACTAGAAACAGATTGGTTTCAGAAATCTAAGACCAGAATGCACTTCGATGAAAAGAAGCTATATTTGTGATACGCAGAGGAAGCTATAGAAGTACCGATTTCCCACCATAGTACAGAGTCCCTCTTGGAACCTGAGAGTGATCAGGAAAGTGCAGAGACTGACTTATTTGATGAATTCAAATACGAGGAAGAAAAAGTAGATGAAAGAGATGGTTACTATACTGGCAACGTGCTTTCGGACGAAGAACTATATGAGAACCCTTAGGAAGAAATTAAAAGTCTGGCAATATACCTCACTAATGTAGAGGAGGTTCCTATGCTAGAAGGGGAAAAAGAATCTGAATTGACCACGAAGGAACGAATCGAAAGTCTAATAGAGAAAAATACTGAGCTCGGAGAAGAGGACAAGGGCGACGTACGGGAGCGATTCAAAAATGAAGAAGACCTTTTTATCGAAGGCCTCGAAGGATTAGGATGAACAAGTGTCGTTCAGCACATAATTGACACTGGAGACGCCAAACCGATCAAACAAAACACGTATAGGATGTCCCCAGATAAGAACGAATATGTGAAAAATGAACTGAAGCAAATGAAAGAACAGGACCTGATCCAAGCATCCGTTAGCCCGTGGGCTTCCCCATCATCATAGTCCCAAAGAAAAATGGAAAAAGACGCCTATGCATCGATTATCAAAAACTAAATATGGTGACAAAATGAGATGCTTACCCTCTTCCAAGAATTAATGACCTGTTGGAAACTTTCGGAAATGCCAAAATATTCTCTAACTTGAACTTAGCCAGTGGTTATTGGCAAGTGGCCATGAGACAGGAAGACCAAGAAAAAACAACATTTGTCACTAAATTCGGAACGTATGAATTTAGAGTATTGCATTCAGATTGTGCAATGCTCCAGCAACATTCCAATAACTGATGAATACAATCCTACGTGAACATATCGGGAATTTTGTAGCTGTATATCTTGACGACATCATCATTTACTCACAGACTGTGAATGAACATGTTGAACACCTGAAGCAAATATTTGAGAAGTTGCGAAGTACCAATCTAAGGCTCAATCTAGAAAAATGCTGTTTCTTCCTACCAACGATCACTTTTCTAGGGCACGTAGTAAGAAAGGAAGGAATTAGGCCTGATGAAGCAAAAATTTCTAAAGTACGAGATTTCCCGACTCCTAAAAATCTATGGCAACTTAGGGGATTTATCGGACTAGCCTCATATTACCGACGCTTCATACAAAAGTTCGCCACTATTGTACGACCGCTACACCAGTTATTACAAAAAAACGAACCATATGAATGGAAGAAAGAACAACAATACACATTCGACATTCTCAAGGCCCACTTAATCAAAGCACCGATATTGCGCTATCCCGATTTTAATAAAACATTCTACGTACACACTGACACGTCTGGGATCGGGTAAGGAGTGGTCTTAGCCCAAACAGATGACAATCGCAAGGAATATGCGATCGCCTATGCCTATAGTTGCCGTCCAAACTTAAAATTTTTAAACGCCCACTAAAACCCAAATCCCATTGGTTAAATCCCATTGGTTAAACTGGAAAAATTATATTTGGCCATTCCATAATCCCAAACTTTGGACAAATCCCAAACTATAAAATAAAATCTAAACTATAGGACAAATCCCAAATTAT